AAGGAATCACATCAAAATAGTACTCACATCCACCCATGTTTTAACTTGAAATAGTGATTTCACATGGTGAGCTTTTTCCCCTTTTTAAATGTTGAACATATACATATTTGATATATAATGTTTAGCTGTAAAGAACGCAGAACAGATAATTTACTCTCTTACCCAAAACCACTATCATTAATATCACGTGCAAGCAAGATTCTGCTGAAAGTTATCCAAAAACGTTTGGAACGATATATCAACAGAGAACAGCCAGATGTGCAGGCTGGATTTAGAAGAGGTCGCAGTACTAGGGATATTATAGCTAATGTTAGATGGATCTTGGCAGAAAGCAAAGAATCCCAGAAGAATGTGTATCTGTGCTTCATTGACTATGCAAAGGCTTTTGACTGTGTGGAAAACAACAAGCTATGCCTGACTCTGAGAAGAGTGGGAATCCCAGAACATCTGATTGTGCTAATGTGAAACCTATACTTGGACCAAGAGGCAGTCGTCAGACAGAACAAGGAGACAGTACATGGTTCAAAATCAAGAAGAGGGTCCGTCAGGGATGTATTCTGTCTCCATACCCTTTCAATCTGTATGCAGAACAGATCATCCAAGACGCTGGGCTGCAGAAGGAGGAATGTGGCATCAGGATTAGTGGAAGAGTTATCAACAACCTGCTCTTTGTGGATGACACAATCCTGCTTGCTGAAACTGAGGAGGACCTGAAGTGCTTGCTGCAGAAGGTCAAGGATAGCAGCTTCCAATATGGATTGAGGCTCAACATCAGAAAAAGAGATTCTCGCCATTCGGCCAATTGGCAGCATCAGTATGGATGATGAAGAGAATGAGATAGTTAACAGTTTTCGTTTACTTGGTTCCACAGTCAACAATCTTGGTAACAGCAGCCAGGAAATCAAGAGACGAACTGCACTGGGAAAGTCAGCTCTGAGGGACCTCTCAAGAGTACTGAAGAGCAACGACATCAGGCTGGAAGCTAAGGTGCGCCTGATTCAGGCTATGGTGTTTGCAATTACGTGCTATGCGTCAGAGAGTTGGACAGTGAACAGGAATTGATGCCTTTGAGCTGTGGTGCTGGAGAAGAGTGTTGAATATATAATGGACTGCTAGGAGAATAAACAGGTTTGTCCTGGAGAAGGTGAAGCCAGAGTATTCCCTGGAGTCAAGGATTCTGAAGCTTCATCTGACATATTTTGGGCATGCTGCAAGGAGGGACTGGTCCTTGGAGAGGAACATCAAGTGTGGCAGAGTGGATGGGTGGTGCAGGAGAGGAAGACCTTCGATGAGATAGATCAATTCTGTGACTGGAGTAGGGGGAATGAGTGTGTTCGAGATGGCAAGGTTGGCACAGGATAGAAAAGCATTTAGGGATCTTGTACATAGGGTCGCTGAGTCGCAAGCGACTTGATGGCACATAACAACAACAACAACCCAAAAACACAGTTTATTTTTCCCTAAAAAGGAAAGCAGGCCTTAAGAGACACAGTCATATACAGGAGATCTAGTTAAATAAAAAAGACTTATACACTAATAACAGAGTAGACTGTTGTACTAATATAATGGTAAATGCTCAGACTAGGGGGAAAAAAATAACAGAAGGCAATAAAAAAAGTCTAAGTAAATCAAAGCCTACTAGCCCATTAAATCTTTTTTTCACATTTCTATAGAAAACTGCTTTAACCTTAATATAGGAAATGGACATAATCTACAAGATCATTATTAGTTAGAATAAATGTTTAATATCCATTTGCCATATAATTCTACTAGATTCATTCCATTAGAGACCTTCCAATACGTCAAATAAGTGGTATCCCTGAGTATTTCGCACCTCACCCTATTATGAGCTGTCGAGGAACAGCCTAAATCTAGAAAGACAATATCTCCAGCCTTCAGACAGCACTTAACGAAGCACAAGGAAGGAAAGTCAGAAGTCAGGAGGACATCTCTGAGATAAAGGCTGAGTGGAGCAATAGACAAAAATCTTCTGGAGGATTTATCAGCAAGCAGTGCTAGAGTCTGCTGCATTATCGCTGCCCTGTAACCTCTCACCAACACACAATCAGCCCTTCAGACCCCGGGACTAAGTGGTTGTTTTAAAAAGTTCTTGTGTCGTATTTACTTTGCTCCTACAATCCTTATCAGAACCGTGATGTACTTAAGTTCTGTAACTCACACACACACAAATTGCCTCCCTAATGTCATACCCAAGGGGAATAATCAGAAGCTTAAAATGACACCCTCATAAAAAGAAAGAAATAAGAATGATTAGGACTTAAAAGGGGCCAGTTGATTGCTAACGGTACAACCATACCTAAATGCCATCAACACTGCATTCTTACTAACTGTAAAAAAACAATAAAATAAAGCTTTAAAAACTAGCTTCTTTCATGAATAGCTAAGTCTCTAACTTTAAAATGAGCTATATTACAAAAGTCCATTTTTTTTGTGAAGATGTATTTCCCCAAAGGATAATATAAATGGTGACTCATTTCTGAAGCTAGCTTACCAATATTTAACCCGTATTTTCTGACAATCAGTAGGTTTAGAAATGAAATGCTTAAGAATGTACTCGTCATACTTCTAGTGCATATTAGAAGATCAAATGAAAACTGGGTGACAAGTAAAATTGAAATATGGGACATACAAGGATTTTGAACACAAGAGGGACCATAAAAGACTTTGGTTTACTCTCAACCAAGTGGACAGACACAGTGACTGCTTCAATGAGCCCTTGTGTGTCAGAAAGTGTGAGGATGGTGCAGGATAGAACAGGGTTTAGATCTTTTGTTCATAGGGTCACTATGACTCCTACTTGACTAGATGACACCTAACAAAAACAGACCCTGTTATAACTTCTCTATAGTCATGCAGATTACTTTAAACTCTCTTTTTACTGGGAAAGAAAATGCATCTTTCCTGAACTAACATTTATCTTTGGAACTGAATTATTCTCAGCCATGTGTAACTTGTACCTTCAATTGTATGTTTACTACTAACTGTATGTAAATTATTCTTTTGAATGTAACAAGCAATAGTAATATGTAAAGTAGATTAATACCCAATCTATGTATAAAACCCTATAATTGTTCTTAGACAGTAAGGCAGTTGTTGAGAGATTCTTTCTGCTCACTCAGATCTACAATAAAGGACTTTGGATATTGGGAGGGGAAAAAAAGACTTTGGTTTAAAGCTGACTATGAGATGGATTGATTCAGTGACCGGGAAATGGGAGTAGGTGTTGGAGAGAGTGAGACTGGCACAGGATAGGACAGAGTTTAGGGCTGTTGTACACAGGGTCACTATGAGTGGCAGGCCACTCGACAGCACATAACAACTACAACAACTACCATTTACTAGAGCTCTAGTGGCCCAGTGATAAGAAGCAGTGCTGCAATCCTGAAGGCACACAGTTCAAAGCCACCAGCTGCTCCAAGGGAGAAGGAAAGGCAATCTCCTCCCTTGAGATTATCTGCCTCTGAAAAGCTGCTAGAGGCTCAGCAACAGGTCAGTTGTTACTGGATGGTACAACAACAAACAGCTTACTAACTTTGTGACTTTAAAGCAAGTTTCTTGTGTCCAAGTTTCTTTTCTTTTTAAAAGAGTAACCTTACAAACTCATTCCACTGTCTCACACTGAGAACAAAATAGGTAAAAAGAAATCAAATGAAATTTAAAAATCACACAACTCCTATGAAATATTTACCTGGATTTCTCTGTTTGATACACTTTAAAATAATACAGTTCTCATTCCATGAGTGAAAAGTGAAACTTACAAAAACCTAAACCACTGATTTTACCTTGTTCATCAATAATGAGGTAAACACAATAAATATATGCTTATATGAGTCAAAGTGGCACAATATATATTATCTTGGCTTCACATTTCAAAAATGTTTAACTATGAAGCTATGAATTCTCACTCTAGGAGCTTATTCCTAATTTAAGATTAAGCCAGTAAGAAACTAAGCTTTGGCACTGAAGTTCATCATTCTTGAATTAATACAAGGATTTATACCCTGGAGTCCTTACATTAACTTCAGAGGACCTATAGAATTCAAAATATTCTCACAAGTTTGTAAATAGGTGATTTATTTAAACTAGATCATCTTAACATCTCGTGAGGTTCTAAACTGGTGTCAACAACTCCTTAAAGAGAAAGAACGCTGGGGCTACACAAATCCTCTTTTTTCTATGAAGGCCAGGGGTGGAATTGATCAAAGAAATAAAGCATCTTGAGAAGTTATATTGTACAAATGCAAAAGTACTGAAGCATTTCTACATAAATGAAACAAAGAGAATCCTATAGTAATGAATACCGCCCACAGAAGATGTGTTAGAAGTTCAGTTGAAAAGGAGCTGGCGTTCCCAACGGCATATATTTTAATTAGATCAATAACAATCATCTTCTCAGATGAGTTGGTTATAATCATTCCATATAATTATGTTTGCGAAAACACTCTTTAAAATCTTTATCCACACTTGCCAAATCACATGGACAAGAATGCACCATACCTTTGCTACCACTGCTTTAAAAGAAGAAAATCCATCTTTTACTTAAACGTCATTTAAACAAAAATGCAATGATTTAACTAACCCAAGCATGGTGTATGAATGAGTACAATTTTTCTAGTAACAATGATCAAAAAGATCCTGACAGCAACAGTTTAATTTTTAACTTAACTTTGAACTTTACCCATTTCTAGAAACATAGAAAGCATTGTTCTTTCAAACACTGTTTAATTTTTCGTTCTTCATTGAGGATAGTTCTAGGGTTTGGGTTTTTCCTCCATTCATTATTTGAACTGTGAAGACTTTAATGCAGCCTATTCTAACCAACAGTACACTGAAAACATCAGTCTAAAAACTAAATCATTGGGGTAGTTCATCTACCTTACTGCCTCTAAAATATTGTACTTCTTAACAAATTGGCAATCAGTTGTGAGTTTGTGTTTATTTGCTTGTTTGCTTTCATTTACACAGAGAGTGGCACTTACCCCTCCTGCCTTCAGCAACTTCCTTCTGAAATCCTCTGTGGGGTTGTTGAAAGTTAGCTTTTCACAGCGGAGGTGATTCACTGGTGGATGGCCTTCAAGATGCAGGAATAAGTCATAATCAAATCGAACTTTCTTGGGTTCTTCCTGTGGGTTTACAAAAAGAAGAAAAGTTAAAAGGAAAACAGTAAAGAGGGTCAAAGAAATAATGGGGGGAAGTGAGCACCAAGTTATCCACAACATAAAATACAAACAGAGTAATTAAAATGGGATACGGGGGGAAAGAAGGAAGGAGTTCATCAGTGTTTTCATAATCTCTCAAGCTGTCTGACATCATCAGCTTGTCAGCCATCTAAAGCCAATCCTCCCCTGTCCTACCACATTTTTACCTCTATCAAGAGATGTAACTATTTCTAAATATTTGAACAAATACTTCTATCTCTAATGTCAATCCCTTTCTCCACTGTTCAAATGACTATAAAGGTTTTTCTCTAATAGGTCTTCTTACTTCAGGAAGATAGGTTAAAAAGAAGCAAGGGTCAGCCTTTTTTTATTTCCTTCCCCATTCATACTTAAACAAAAACGAAAACAAACCAATACTACCAATTTCACTCCGTGGTTTGAAGAGCTTAAATGACCACTGTTGCTGTAGTTAGATGCGATCAAGTTATTTATGACTCATACTGACCCTATGAACAATCCTACACCATTCTCTCAATCTGATATGCTCACAACTATTGTTATGGTCACTGTGTCAATCCATCTTGTTGAGGGTCTTCCTTTCTTTCTCTGACCCTCCGCCTTTCCCAATATTATGTCCTTTTCCAAGGACAGGTCCAGTCCTGACAACATGGCCAAAGTTTATGAAATGAAGTTTTATCATCCTTGACGGCCCTTTCTCCAAGACAGATTTGTTTGCTCTTTTGGTAATCCATGGAATGTTCAGTATTCTTCTTCAACACAACAAGTCAATGGCAAAAAAAAAAAAACCAAAACAGAAACAACAAACCCAACCCAACACTAAGTTCATATGAATGCCACACAAGGGCCTTCATAATTTATCTCTTGCATTCTTATCTCACCACAGTCCTTCTGTCCATATGATGGTTCAGCACAACATCACTTACTTCTGGCTGCTTTTGGGTATCTACCATGTTAACTCTGGATTTCACACTTCTTTTACATTTTCACTCTCAATATCTATTCTATTTGTAATGTCTCTATTTCTCTACCTTCTGTTTTATCTCCATTCAGGTTGCTCTTCATTCCTCGCTCAATTTTCTGTATCAGAAAGTCTTCCTTGGACTTCATCCTCTTAATTCTCCACTGCCTCTACATACATACAGCGGCTCTACACACATCCTCTCATCATTGGCGTATCTTAGAACATCTCTCTCCTTACAGCTACCTTCCCCCACTCCCCATATCTTAAGATTCTTGAAAGTAGAAACAATATTTGCATCACCTTTGTATCTTTAACAACTAGGTGAGATCCTCCACATTGAGGGGATGTCATAAGTAGCTATGATTCAGCTCAATTCATTACCCTCAAGTCAGAACTGACTCACAGCTAACCTTCTATTGGGTTTCTGAGGCTATAAATCACACAGGAGAAGAATGCCTATCTTTCACCCATGGAGGAGCTGGTGGATGTGAATCCTCAAAAGGGCATGGTCTTTGGGTTAACATCACAACTCGCGGTGTACTACACCACCAGAGGTCCCTATGAGATGAATAAAATAATAGCATATCTCTGATATTTTGTTTTGTCAGTTGTTAAGCTAGCTCCACTCATGGTCATCATACTTATAGCAGCATGAAATGGTCATCACTTCATGCATTGTTTTCATACCCACTGCTGGAGTCACTGTGTATTTTGAGTCTCTTTTAACCTAGAGGACTCATCTCTCCAGTATTGTATCAGGTAATATTCTAATACAATAGGTCTATAGGGTTTTCATTTCAAAAGTAGATTCCCAGGCCTTCCTTTACAGTCTTTTTTCTTTTTATCCTGGAAACTCCAATGAAACCAGTTTATCATAGGTGACCCTGGTGGTAGAGTTAGCAGCAACACACAGGCCACCATAGTATGACAAAATTACATACAAGTAGTAGAATAAAGGAGTAGGCAGGCATGATGCATCATCTTCAACCAGTATAAAAATTTCATGATACTCTGGTGGCATCCACTTCCTAAACAACATGCCTCCAGAAACTCCACGAACTTAGATAAATGTTGACAGTTCTAGAAAGGCTTCAGGCCTTTTGTTCCTAGGGTCACTATGAGTCATGTTGGACGTGAAGGCAATCAACAACAAAACAGATAGCCTAAAGCCATAAAGTTAATAACAAACAAACTGGGATTAAGCTTAGAAGTTCTAGTTTATGGTATAAAGAGACTGCCACAGTCAGAAATGTACAATCTGAAGAGGATAAAAATGGATGAATGGGACCTTCTAAAGATTAAATCCCTGTGTTCATCAAAAACTTTTTCCAACAGGGTGAAAAGAAAACCTACTGACTGGGGACAAATATTTGGCAATACTATCTCAGACAAGAGTCTCATAATGGAAGTTTATAGACTACTCCTGGGCCTCCACAAGAAAAAGACTGATAACCCAATTACAAAATGGACAAAAGACATGAAAAGAATTTTCAAAGAGGAAGACAATCAAATGGCCAACAGACATATGAAGAAATGCTCCAAATCACTGGCAGTAAGAGAGATGCAAATCAAAACCACAATGAGATACCATCTCACTCCAGTAGCAGTGGCAAAGTTGAATAGGGTGGCAAGTAATAAATGTTGAAGAGGATGCGGTGAGATAGGAACTCTTATATTGTTGGTGGGACTATAAACCACTTTGGAAGGCAGTTTGGCACTTCCCAAAAAAAGCTGAACAAATAAATTTCAAATGACCCTGCTATTTCATTGCTTGAAATATACCCCAAGAAAATGAGAACTGAAGCTTAAACAGAAACAAGTATACCAATGTTCACAGAAGCATTATTCACCATTACAAGAACATGGAAACAGCCCAGATGTCCAACTACAAACGAATGGATTGAGCAGTTGTGGTATAGTCACACAGTGGAATACTATGCAGCATTCAGGAGTAATCATTTTGTAAATTACTACCTAACCTGGGAGGGGACTGGAGAGCATTATGATGAATGAATTCAGTCCCACAAGGATAAATACTGTACAAAACCATTATTGTAGAATGAGTATGAGGATGCAAGGCAGAGGGGGGAGGGTGGAAATAATAGAAGGGTGAGGATGGGTGGGGGGGTAGGGTGTTAATCACAGGGTTGCACAATTCAATGGGTGGGTGGGGTTAAGAAAATGGGAAGGATCTTTTGTGAAAAACAACGTATTCAAACTTTGTCAATAAATCAGAACACAATTTCTAAAAAGGGGGGGAAATCCACCAAACTATATTAGTTAGTGGAACATTTATGGAACTCTTTATAAACTGATTTAACTCTATGAGGCAAAATGAAGAATGAAGAAAATAATGTTAACTAAGGTGTATTTTTGACAAATGTTTTCCATCAGCCGTGAACTCAGTTTTGTATGATTAGGGAAATAGTGCATTTAGAATTTGTAGTATCACTAACATGTAACGTAACCAGTGTTTTAAACCCAATTGTGTTGATTCAAACAGAGTCCTAATGGAGTCGTGTTGACACACCTGGCTGTTAAAAGAAGGCCAATTGAATGCACTCACTCTACAGGAGTCTCCTGGATGGGTAGTGTCCTCTCATGAAAATTTACAGCTACAGATGACTGATGGAGGGCTGCTATGAGTTGGAATAAACTGTGTAAAAAGCTATGGGTAACTATGAGAATAAGAGAAATATCAGAACACTTAATTAGGCTCATATGAAATCTATACCTAGACCAGGAAGCCACTGTCCATGCAGAGCAAAGGAACATGTTATAGTTTAAAATCACAGAAAGTGTGCAAGAGGGCCGTGTCTTTTCTCTGCACCTATTCACACTGCACTTTGAGCAAATCATCTAAGAACCTGAATTCCAGGAACAAAAATGTGGCACTGGGATCAGAGGAAGCCTCATCAACAATATGTGTTATGTAGATGACATAACCTTGCTTGCTGAAAGTGAGGCCTTTGAAATGTTTGAAGATCAAAGACTACACCCTTCAATATGAATTGCTTCTCAACATCAAGAAGACAAAAATCCTGACCACTGAACCACTAAGCAACATCTTAATAGATATAGAAAAGACTGAAGTTGCCAGTGATTTCACTTTTCTTGGATCTAAAATGAACACCACTGGTACCAAGAGATCAGGAGCTGTACTGCATTAGAAAAGACTGTTGTTAGGATCCTCTCAAAATTACTGAGAAACAATTGTCAATTTGATGGCTAAGGTGCATCTGATTGAAGCCAAGGTCTTTCCAATCACTTGCTATGCATCTGACAATGAATGGATGACAGAAGAATTGATACCCTTGAGTTGTAGTGTTCGAGAAGAGTAATAAATAACCCATGAATTTCTCAAAGAACAAATAGATATGTCTTGGGAAAAGTGCACCCAATGTTCATAGGAAGTAAGCATAGCAAACCTTTACCTCATATACACTGGGCAAGCTGCTAGGAGGAGCTATAGCTTGGAAAAACAACACATCATGCTTGGGAAGGCAGCAAGTCAATGAAAGGGGGGAAGACCTTTAGTGAAATGGACTCACGCAGTGACTACCGCAACAGGCTTAAGTGTGTCAGAGATTATAAGGATGGCACAGGATAGGGCAGGGCTTAGATCTGTTGTACACACAGTCTCTATACGTCATATTTAACCCAATCCACCTAACAACAACAAAATAAGCTGAAACTTATTCAGAGGCACTGGATATCTTATGGTATGTATTTTGACTCAAAGGCTTCTAGCACTTGAAACTCTCTAAGGAAGTGGGCAGGAACCTACTACAACCACATACTTTTGTATTCCACTGTCTCATCCAAACGTCCCCAAATCAGAGTCTGTCCTCATTTCACCACCAACTGTTCACTTACACTGAAATGTGCCATGACTGACATTCTTCGGTCACTTTAGATACTACTATCTCCTGATTTTCCTCATTGCTTTCTGGCCATATCTTCTCAGTCTTCTACACAATCG